AAAAAAAAAAAAAAAAAAAAAATTAGCTGGATGTGGTGGCAGGCGCCTGTAATCCCAACTACTTAAGAGTCTGAGGCAGGCAGAATCGCTTGAACACAGGAGGTGGAGATTGCAGTTAGCAGAGATCATGCCATTGCACTTCAGCCTGGGCAACAGAGTGACTCTTTCTCAAAAAAAAAAAAAAAAAAAAAAAAAAAGAATCACTTGAACCTGGGAGGTGGAGGTTGCAGTGAGCCGAGATGGCGTCACTGTACTCCAGCTGGGGTGACAGAGTGAGACCCCGTCTCAAAAAATAAGTGATATAGTCTCTAGTCCTGACCTAAACCTAGCAACTGTATAGAAACTTGGAGGGTCTGACTAGCCTTCACAGACCTCTGGAAAGACAAGGGTTTACCCAACCAGGGCAAAATTTACATGGTTTTACATACACCAAAAAGAACCATCTCATACTAGAGAGTGGAGGAAAAATAATTCTTTCTCCTGTCTTCGATTCTGGGAATGTCTGGAGTAAATACACTGACATAATGCCTGTCACACTGCTTGGTTCCTTAATGGTTGACACTTGTCCTACCCTTTGTACACTGACTTCATTTTCCGTCGCCCCCATGGTAGGCAAAATAATGGCTGCTTCCAAAGATGACAATGTAGTAATCCCCTCAACCTGTGAATAAATTAGGTTATGTGGCAAAGGACAATTATAATTGCAGAGGAAATTAGGGTTGCTAATTAGCTGAACTTGAGATAAGGAAGTTATCTGGGTGGAGCCCAAACCAAGGAGTTTGGGCAGTAATCATAAGGGGCCTTAAAAGTAGGAGAGGAAAAAAATAAAAATAAAAATAAAAATAAAAATAAAAAAGTAGGAGAGGGAAGTTGGGAGGGAGGGATCAAAAAAATAAAATAAATAAAGTAGGAGAGGGATGACAGGGCACCCCAGCACTTTGGAAGACCAAAGCAGGAGGGTTCAGGAGTTCAAGACCAGCCTGGACAGCATAGTGAGATCTTGTTTCCGCTACAAATAAAAATTCAAAAAAAGGAAAAAGAATAAGAGGGATGCTCAATAGAGAGGAATGCAATGTGAGAAAGACTACAGTAGTCTCCCCTTATCCAAGGTTTCCCTTTGCAGGATTTCAGGGTTTGTTACCCCATGGTCAACCATATTTTAAAAATAGGTGAGTACAGGACAATATTTTGAGAAAAATAGACCGACCACATTCACTTAACTTTTAGTACAGTATATTGTTATGATTGTCCTATTTTATTAGTTGTTGTTAATCTTGTATGGTGCCTAATTCATAAATTTTAACTTCATCACAGGTATACATTTACAGAAAAAACAGTGTACATAGGGTTTGGGATTGTGGTTTCCGGCATCCACTGAGGGTGATGGAACTTAAACCCCACCGAAAGGGGGAGGACTACAATATCACTGGTTTTGAAAATTCAAGTAAGCAGTAAACCAAGGAGTCTGGGCAGTCTCCAGAAGTTGAGAAAGGAAAGAAAACAGATTCTCCTTTCTGGAGCCTCCAAGAAACGAAAGCAGCTCTGGCAACCTTTTATTTTAAGTTTTTTTTGGGACAGTCTTAGTCACCCAGGCTGGAGTGCAATGGCGCAATCTCAGTTTACTGCAACCACCCCATCCCGGGTTCAAGCGATCTCACCAACTCAACCTCCTGAGTAACTGGGATTACAGGCGCTGGCCACCACGCCTGGCTAATTTATTTATTATTTTTTAAAGACAGGGTCTCCCTATTGTTGCCCAGGCTGGTTCCAACTCCTGGACTCAAGAGATCCGCCCGCCTCAACCTCCCAAAGTGCTGGGATTACAGGCGTGAGCCGCCGCGCCCGGCCTTCGGAAACCATACTGAACAAGTTCCATGTGTTTCCTTGGCACAATGAAATATGGGATCAGATAACTTGCCTCCTGATTTACTACAGTTAAAAAAAAAAAAAAAAATCACGATTTGCCTCCTTTCCCTTTACATTCTAAGCTCCAGCTCCAAGCCTCTGTACTCCTTGCGACCTCTTACAGGGAGTCAGGGCCGGCCAAAAGCTTCCAGGGTTGGAATGAGGAGGCTACTAGAGAAGCTGCTTTCTCTTGAATGGGGATGATCCCAGGCGCACACGGTTAATGCACGCCGGGGAGCGCTCAGTCAGTGCGCGTAAGGACAGGGCCAACCCTGCATTCCAGGTTCTCCATCTGCCTCGAGGACCGGAATCCACAGTATGGCAAAAGATCTGACTGCTAAAGCACGAAACTGATCAGCAGTAGCTGCAGCACGAAAAGTAGAACTGCAATCTAAACGCCACTCGTGTTCCAAGCGAGCCCGAAAAGGACTCGCCATCCGGTCGCTAGCAAGCTGGAAGTCCCGCCCACCTTTCCGGCACCGAAACGCGATTGGCCGCACGTGTCACCGCATCCTCCTCTTGACCCCACCGACTCTGCAGCGACGGACGCTTGAGAATGCGGCACCGCGCTACGCAGGAAGTACTTGCCTCGGCGGAAGCTTCTGAGCGTGATATAGCGGAAGTGCCTTCTCTTCCGGTCTTTCTGGTCCCGGTCGCAGAAGCAATATGGTGAGTTGTTATCTGGCTGTCTGTGGATCGCGTTCCATCCTTGTCTTTTCTGCCTCCCTGTCTGCTGCCCTTGCGGGTCCGGCAAGATTTCGGACAAAGGGAACTGGTGGGCAGGAAAGAGTCATACGATGGCCCTCAAGAGCAAGAATAACGGCTGCTAACTGGTGCCTGGGGGACCGAGCTCGCCTTAATTAGGGAGCTGGAGCCGTAGTGTGCCCCTTGCTTCGGTGCAACCTTTGGGGATGTTTCACAGCTGTAACCTTAGGAGCTGAGGGAACGAGTTTGGGAGTGTTTGGCTCTCTGTAACAATGAAGGAATTCATTGGTGATGTTGACTGGCAGGAGTCTTTAAAGATAAGGTATTATTTCAGAATATTGCAACTCTTGCAGAGGGCTTTAAGTAACGTGAAATACTGGTAATGGTCTCTGACTTGGCATTTTTGGAAAGTTTGGAGGGTTCTCCCACAGTTTCGACCTTTATGATTGCCTTTAGATTTTATCAGTAATTGGTTTCCTGGAGAACTCGGGTAAATGTAGAAATTGCTAGGTTTCAGCATTATTTATTCCTTTAATGTGCAGACGAAGGGAACGTCATCGTTTGGGAAGCGTCGTAATAAGACGCACACGTTGTGCCGCCGCTGTGGCTCTAAGGCCTACCACCTTCAGAAGTCTACCTGCGGCAAATGTGGCTACCCAGCCAAGCGCAAGAGAAAGTGTAAGTAACGTTTTTTAGACCAACTGTGTTAGTTTTTGTATTGCACTTAAGTGGGGGCATGGGTTTGAACTTTATTTGGTACCTAACTTAAAACTTGTTCATCTGTATGGCGGTGAGCTGGCGTAAAACTCGTGTATTAACTAACAATACCTACCAGGTGTGTGTGTGGGGGAAACCACTTGAAATCTTTTCTGAACTTCTGTTTTAGATAACTGGAGTGCCAAGGCTAAAAGACGAAATACCACCGGGACTGGTCGAATGAGGCACCTAAAAATTGTATACCGCAGATTCAGGTACAGTTTGTATGTTGGATCATAATTGGTCCTATGGGCTTGAATGAAACTCTTGTGTTTGTAAAACGATAACTACCCTGATGGTTACTGGGGATGAGATGTTGGAAGCTTTTTGCTTTGTTTTGTTGAGAACAGGGTCTCACTATGTTGCCCAGGCTTGAGTACAGTGGCACAATCACAGCTCACTGCAGGCTCAGTTGATCTCACCTCAGTCGCCCGAGTATCAAGGACTACAGGTGTGCGCCACCAGACGCCCAGCTGATTTTTGTGTTTACTGTAAAGAATGGGATCATCCATCTGCCTGACCAAAGTGCTGGGATTTCCGGCCTGAGCTACCACTCCAGGCTAGATCTTGAAAGCTTTTATCTTGTCACTGTAACCTTGAGATCAGTTAGTTTGGATTTTATTAGTTTTTTCACTAAATAGTAATATAAGTTATCCGGAACATTTTGTTTGAGCTAAGGTCCCAAAATGTTGATATTAGGAATACCTATTTAATTGGTATCAAATTTGTCAAGACAGTAGTGAATAAAGTCTGGAGTCAGGCTTGGTTCAACCTTCAGTATTGTGGCTGTGGGCAAGAGTGCTGTAGAAAACTGCCCTGGTTGCTGCTGCTACCTTACACTCTTGTTATTCAAGAGTCTTGCCCTTAGAGTTAGAAATGCAGAGTCTCAGTTTAAGAGTAGTTTCTAAGAGATTAACCCATCTGAGATCTCAGCTGAGATTCAGAATGATGCAGACTTAACTTTAAAGCTGGCGTTCCTTACTGTGTTCTGTTTCAGCAATTCTCTGATGTTGATATTTTGGGCTGGATAATTTGTGGTGGGATTGTCCAGTGCAAAATTGAGTATTTTGCAGAATCCCTACCCTTTACCCACTCAGTCTAATTTTAAAAAGATAACAAGGCAGTTCAGGGCTTTGTAGACACCTGTATGTAGGTGTGTTCATGTGTTGAAGCAACTTTCTTTGCACTTACGGTCATAGATTTCTGTGGGCTTAATGTTGAGTGGTCTGTTAGTACAATATAGTGTTAAGAGCTTGAACTGAAGCCAGGCTTTAAGTTACTTAATTTTTCTGTGCCTTGATTCACTCATCTTAAAAGGATAGCTGACCTTTTTTTTAGAGTAGATGTGGATATTAAATAAGTTAAAATGCAAAGTTCTTAGTAGTTTGAAAATGTCTACCATTAAATGTGCTCATTTTTTCTTGGTGAAAACAGTTGGGATCTATTCTCATAGCATAGGGAACCATTTTCACAAATATCTGTGATCTTTTGTCAAATAAGAGTAAAATACTGGCCCAGTGACTAGTATAGTCAAAGTTTTTGATTTTATTGGAATTGGGGTTAACTGTATCTGAAAATGGTTATCTTTAAGCAAAGTGAAGTACAGAATTGCAGCTTATCAATGATGTTGTAAAAAAATAAATGTCTGAACATATGAATGCTATTGATTTCAGCATTTAACTGAGATAAGCGCATTGAAATTTGTTTAACAAAAATTAAAATTGATCTATCGACATGCTGAAGTAAATTGTCCTTGTTTTTGACATTGTGCAGGCATGGATTCCGTGAAGGAACAACACCTAAACCCAAGAGGGCAGCTGTTGCGGCATCCAGTTCATCTTAAGGATTTCACCGATTAGTCACGCAATAAATGTTCTGGTTTTAAAAATACATGTCTGGGGTGTGCTAAGGTACTTTTAATCAATTTGGCTTGTAGTATCAGTGAAATACTATAGGTTTAGGGACTGAGCCAACTTAATATCATATTTACTTTTAAGTGACTGTTTTGGAGTGTTTATTTTTGGACTGGGGTTGTAAGGTTTAAGGCAATGAGAAGCAGAATTCTAGGATTCCTTGAAGCAGGGCACTAGAAGACAATATAGCAGATTAGAATAACACAGCTCATGTGGCACAGATGGGTATTAAAGATGTTCTAGTAAATTAGAAAGAGCATGATGTTTACCTTTAGTAGCATGTTCCATCTGCTATACTCATGACTTAGTGGGGGTGATTATTAGTCACATGGGAGTACCAGTGAAAACATAAAGGATAGGAGTTAGGAGACTTCTGTTTTTCAAAAGATGATGTTTTCCTAGTATCTGTAGTGCTCACTTGGCACATCTGGCTTGTGGGCTGTGTGTAAGGTGGCTAGCTAAATGAAAAAAGCTTGCTAGGTGTGAGTCAACTTCAGAATAAGTAGGTTTGAGGAAAAAGTAGGGCTGGATGCAAGTAAGGATTGAGCAGGAAATAAAGGAACACCAAGTATAAATCCTGAGATTTGTAGACTAAAGGCAAGAATGTGGGACTACTTGGTTGACTTTTTTTAGTCCTCAACTTGGTAATTATTGGGCATTTCTGTGTTAAAGCACTGAAACTAACTGTCATGCCTTCCCAGTCTTGGTGGTTTATTGACAGGGTTGAGTTTTTTGGAAATGAAGAGACAACTGGACTGCTGGGGCAGTTGAAGGGAAGATGAATGCCAGAACAGTTCCATAAAATAGTGATGTAGCCAAGTCATGCTATTTAAATTAAAATTCTCCACTGTGTTTAGGTTAACATCTGAGGTTCTTAACTTGGCTTTGGAAGGGAATCACTTTTACTTGCAATCTGGAATCGCTTTATAACATGCTAGATAATTAATTGCTACCCCTCCTCCTGTGTTTTAACTCCTATTTACCCTTCAGGTCTCAGCTTCTGAACGTTTACTTGTAAAGAAACCCTGCTGATTAAATCTGTCTTGTCCTTCCTCCCAAAATGTGAGACTGTATTTTAAAGATGTATTGTTAGAGTCCAGTGCCGTTTGTTGGCTTTCTTGTTTTGAGATAGTGCAGTGGCACAATCCCAGCTCGCTGTAGCCTCTACTTCCTTGGCTCAGGTCAAGTGATCCTCCTGCCTCAGCCTTCTGAGTAGCTGGGACTACAGATACACACCACCACACCTGGCTGTGATTTTTGTGTTTTTTTTTTTTCGTAGAGATGGAGTTTTGCCATGTTGCGCAGAGCTCCATTTGCCTACCTCAGCCTCCCAAAGTACTGGTACTGCAGGCATGGGTAACACACCTGAGCCAGTTGTTATTTATTGATGTCACTTTACTAAAACAACTGTGCCTGTGTTTACATGTAAACTGGAGGACTAATTAGTAACTTTCATTGGCTTGTGAACAGTAGATTATTTTCCAGTGACCACAACCTAAAGTTAGTAATAATTAGGCTCAGGATTATGAAATTGCTTTGACTTACAAAAGCAGCAATTTGGTTACATTTAAGCTTGATAAAACAAATAGTCTACTGACTTAAGATCTTTTCTAACCTAATCTTTCATCATTACCAATGTTTGATTCCTGATTGATGGGGGACCCACTAAAATAGGTGAGAAACCCAGTATGGAAAAAATATCAGGCATTGAGACAAGTTGGCACTAACCCTAATAAAGCTGTTGGTAGTCACAGTTCGTTAATCACAGACCCAGGGAGAAGCAATGGGAAAGAGGGGTGGGTTAGCACTTTTATGATAGGGTACAAACAGGTGGACTCAATTGTACTTGGTGAATTCTAGATTACAGAATGTTTGTGTCCTTGGTCTCAGGTATCTGATGTGATCCTGAGGATCACAGCCAGGGTTTAGGCAATGGGTCCCAATCCAACAAAAGATGGGCTAGTGCCACACTTGTTCTATTGAGACAGGAAGCAGTAGGCCTGGCACAACACCTGTTGGGTCTGGAGTTCCTGTGGAATTTATATTTCTTAGGCAGAGTGCACATAAGGTCAGATGGGCTACAGAAGTAAGACTTGGATTTTTGAGTGTTTTATGTTCTATGAGTTGTTTTAATTGGCCCTTTGAGTCCCTGCCATATATGTGTTATTTGATTTGGCACATCAAATAGTTGGGTTAATTTTTTGTCCATGGTACGTGAGTTTCATCTGTGCCATTTATTTTTTACCTTCTATGGCAGAATTAGGTATTCTCACATAAGCAAATTTGTATTATTTTAGGCTCTGAAATTAAAGATTGGGAAATGTCCCCATTACATTGCCAAACTTTCGAGTAAAGCTAGCCTATTGAAGATTAAATGGTGACTTGAAAGACTGGTATAATGTAAAGCTGGTGAAGTTGGGCCAGTTTTGGCTTCAGAAGTCCAGTGAAAGCACCATGAGCTCCGTATGCTATACAGCCCCACTTAACCACCTTATCCTCCTGCCATTCAGTGAGGTAAGTTCTTTAAATACAGCCCTTGAACTTAATGACTCCAATTTTCAAATGAAATGAAATAAGCAGTAGATCTTGCATTCAAATTCTAGTCATGTTACCACCCTGTTCTTCCAGCTTGGTTCACCTGCCACTGCACTGAACTTTACAGTAGCCTACCATTTTTATTCATTGTAACCTATGTTGTGTTCTCTACATTTCCTTTTTTTAAAAAGAAAAAAATATTTAAAAAAAAATTAGAGATGGAGTTTCACTATGTTGCCCACGCTGGTCTTGGACTCTTGGGTTCGAGTGTTCCTCTCATCTCGGCCTCCCAAAGTGCTGGGGTTACAGGCACAAGCCACTACACCCCACCTGTTGTCTGGATATCTATCTTCAGCACTCAGTCCTGCCTTAAGTTACAGCCCCTGTATACTTTAAACCTTTTATCTTTTTTGCAGTATTACGTGTAGGTGTATAAAAACATGTTTATTTTTTCTAAGTACCCCATGTGCTTTTCAACTCTCCTCACAGCCCCTACTTCCCTCCCACCTAAGTTCACAAAGTCAGGTTGATTTGCCGCCAACTGTCAAAGCAGGGTACATTTCCACATGTAACTGGTTATGTTATGTAAAGTTATAAAAATACAAAGGCTAATAAGGTTGAGTCTGTGGCATTGAAAACCTTTGGGAACCATACCATACTGAATGAATTCAGTAAACTTGAGCAGCTTAATTTCTTTAGAGGCCTTACCTCTAATTGAGACAGGTGATTATATATTGTATGCTATGATAGATAAATGCACTGATTGCTGTGAGAGCCTTGGAAAGGAGTTTGTCACTCAATAGGTGAAGGGAGACTAAGATTTAAGTTGAGCCAGGGAGGATTTAAAGGAATCATGAGAAAGGATGTAAGTGGCCTTGCCAGCAATGAAACCAGTCAGTGTCATCCCATCTAAATTTGATTTAAAAAAAACAGTCAGAGCAAGGCCTAAGATGGAACTGCAGCTACCGTGGTTGTCAGGTTAGAAGGAGGGGGTGGGGGTATGTAGGACTGGTAAGAAAAGAAGGAAAAGCAGTGATCAGATTATGAAGGATTTGTCTTGACAAATTATTGAGGATTTCAAGCAGAATGTTAGGAATAGTTTCTTTAGCAAGATTAATGTGGAAAGTGTTAGTGTGCATGTGATGAGTCTTGAAGCTGGAAAACTAGGAACAAGTTCTGAAATAGTTCATCTGAAAATCTGACCCAGACTAAGGCAGTGGCTGTCAGGGAGGTCTCTGCAGAGAACATCTGAAACTTTTTCCTCCCTATTGCTTTGAGCAAAAACATCTAAAACTTGAATGTACAAGTGAGTAGTTAACTTCCAAGCCCCTGTTTGTGTATAATTTTCTGTGTCTCATAAGGTGTGTGAGGATTACATGAGATCATACATGTAACAATAATAGCATTGTGTCTAATACAGCAGCCTCAGGGAGAGGTGTTTTGGGATGTCTTCGGTTTCTGGACAAAAGGAAGGAGGTGGTTGCTTGCTCCACTCAAATACAGAATGATGAGGAATATAGAAAGGTAATGAGAGGAAAGTAGTAAAGTTGTGTTTTGTTGACATACCTGTGGGGACATCAGGAGGAAGTGTCTAGGAAGCAGCTGAGTTGGAAAGTAAGGACTGGATATCTACATTTAGAAGTAACAATTGTGGATGGAAACCAATTTTAAGAGTTAGAATGGTGAAGATAATACAAGTATGGAAATGTAATATGGAGATTTGATAGTCATTTACAAGTCAGAGAAAGAGGACTAAGTTCATCTATGAACTATATATAGTAACTATCTCTAACTTGGCTGTTAGTGGAAACCATTTGTGAATATACAGACTCCAAAAATAAGATTGAGGCTCAAAGTATGAGACCTGGGGAGATGTCCATTGGAGACAGAAGTGGAGAGAGGGAGAAGTCCATTCATTTGTTCAACATATGTATATGTGGTACACCTACTGTGTGCCAAGCCATGTTAGAGATACAGTGGGAGCAAAACCAGACGTGGTTCCTGCCTCTTAAAGTTGACGGTTGACTTCACTGGTTGCAGAATTAGCCCAGAAACTAGAATTGGATTGAGTCACACAAACCAAAAGGATTGTTTGAGAGGGGCACTCAGTCACATGTGGCTGAGGCCTAAGAAAATGAAGATATATTTTAAAATTCTGGATTTGGCAAAATTTAGGCTTTCTTTTTTTGTAGAGATGGGGTTTCACCATGTTGGCTAGGGTGGTCTCGATCTCCTGACCTCGTG